GGTTTTTTTAAGTCTAAAAATCGTTTCTTCTAAATAACGATTTCGCAGTGCGACACCAGAAAACAGCCGACAGAGTGCCTACATTGTTAGATTTTGTCTGGAAACATTTTCCCAAACCAACTGGTGTCACGCTCTAGATTGATCTGAGGGATTGTGATTTTGCGGAAATACTCGCATTCTACTCTTGGCACATCGCGTATAAGAACAGCTCGCACAATGGGTTAAAACACAGACTGTTCCGAGCAACGATGTTCAAGGGATACAACCATCATTGTTCGTCCTTTAGTGACCTTCAGACTGCGATTAGGGAAAGAAGCGAGGCTCGTGATGGAAAAGACTACTTCAAAGTATCATATTTGCACCATCTTCCTCCCCTGATCATGGTTTTCTCTGCTGAAGCATTGGACAAGCTTGCCAAGGCCAACAACTCGACACGCTTGGAACCCACGTACAAACAGCTATACAAAACCATTCTGAACCAAGTCGAGTCATTTGTCTGCGTCGGTAAACACCGTTACAGTTTCATACTCGAAATCGGCCACAGCGGATTAGGCTTAGGCTATGATAGCCAAACGGGCCGGGCAAAGAACCCATTGGATGGGGACCCCATACGTGACAAACGCGTCATTTACGAGAGCCTCCTTGGTCGGGCTTTGGTTGATGTTAGCTTGTATCTAAGAGGGTTATATCCAGAGCTACTCTTCGCTTCGTGTACGAGGTTGCCCGACACAATCTTGCCGGAAGATAAGAAGTACAAAGTTAGATATGCAACCGCTAATTTGGAGGAGTGGAAGACCGGAGAGCATGCTATCTCATCTAAGCTGAGAGCGATCCATGGAGGGCTCTATCCACAGTCCCACATAGCTATTGCTGATGACCCAGTGGCAGAGATTGCGGCAGACACGTGGATTGACCAGACGGCGAAACTGACACGGAAGGAATTGTTGAAGACTTCCTACGACACATGGCTTAAGAAAGGTGGGAACGACCTTGTTGAAGCCATGAAGCACATCAACGGTGACTTGCTAAATCGCGTGGACGATCTGCCGGACCAAAGCGATATGGCGAAACCACGTGGCACGACCATCGTTCCTGCCCGGAACAATCAATTCTGGCCGTTGAGTATCGCAGCTCCTGATGCTTCGGTGGACTGGTCAACTGCGCTCGCAGATAACCCAACTCTTGAGGACGAAGAAGATGTCTCTGATAAAATTGCAGTCAGTGGAAGACATCGTGGTGACGAGTTCAATCCACATGTAGGTATGTTCGATCCATCGGGTTATTTGACCATTCTTCCACATGGACCCAATGATGGGGAGAGCATACTGTCTACAGAGGATGGAGATTACACCTTCTACGGTATTCAAACCGCACTCGGTAATTCCAACAGCATGTGTATATACGACAGAGTGAACGAAATCGGGCTCAATGAGCTCAGAAACCTCATCAAATACGGCGCCAATATCAATGCTTGGTCCGGGCCGGACGGCACACCACTAGCAGCAGCATGCGGGTCGGCCCGACCGTCCGCTGCAAAACTCGTGATTCTTCTTGAACATGGAGCTTCAGTAGATATAGAGGGTCAATTCGGCTATCCTTTGTAGCTACTGGCTAGAAATGGTCACAAGACGGGCGTGGTAAAGTTGCTGGACTACACCGAAGAACAATTCGAGGTTAGGGTTATTTTCCAGACAGGGAGAGCATAAAAACATCTATGGTTGTTGCTTACCAGGATAGTTTGATTCACCGAGCGATTACTCGCACAATTGCCGAGCGATTTAACGAAATAACACGCTTGGATATAGACATCGTGATCCCTGAAACGATCCCTGCTGAAGGAACGCAAAATCTGACTCCAGCATTATTTTCCCGAGCTAGAAAGGACCAATGGAGGTTCGGTGAAGGCTCACCTGCAAACAGAGTCCAGAGCTGTGGGCATGTTGACAGGCTCAATAGCTGTAAACATGCACACAGGATCAAGAATTGTCGGTGTTCTCACACTGATTGTGCGTGGTGCTTGACGAGCCAAAGAACGACCGCAATGGTTCCTGCTTCACTAAGTTTCACTGGTAGTGAACCAGATGCTCCCCAACAGGACCAAGACGCTATCGACCCACCTTTCGGATCTCCTCACATTTCGTCAGAAAGCAACTTACTTGAATCTGGACACGAGCCACAAGTCATTGTTTGCGAAGCTCTAGCACCGACTAGCACACCCAGCATCCAGACATCGAATCATAGTAGCAAGGCCATACCCCTTAGTGCAAGGAATATTCGACCTGTCCAAGAATTAGGTGACGGACGTGCCGGTTATAGCGGTCTTGAGTTGAGCGCAAGTAGGAATGAGGTACGCCAATCACCACAAAATCAGCATACGCGTGTGTCACAGGATCGCTCAACACGGTCCAAACAGCATAAGAAAGAACGTGCCAGCACTTATCCGCAGCACTAACAGACTATGCCACTTTTGCATACTCACCAACGCACTACACAAGAGTTCAGCAACCCTCAGTGGCAAATCAGCACTCATACACGGCACCAACCGGCTGTGCCGCTTTTGAAAACCTCCAGTACACAGGACAAGAATCTGGCAGCTCGCAGGAGCATAACAGCATATATGTAGAGCCACAACAGACCACAACACTCGCACACTCCCAACAATGCACAATAAACCAGCTGCGAAATTTATAAGAGCAAAGTAGCATACGTCCTTCTCAGCAACAAGGATTGCAGTCTCCGCATGCCATGGAAACAAAGACAAGAGCTTCGCGACGATACAGATACTCTCAACACCCGTCCAATCAAGGACTTAAAGGTCATGCTGAAGGAAATAGGCAACAGCCAAGGGACGCGCGAGAGCTTCACAATACGTTTACTCATCAAGAGCAAACGTTCTCCTCCGTACACACTGAACAGCAAGTAGTCACCAATGCTGTATTCGAGCAGCAACAGTACACTAGTATTCCTCAAGCGATATATCATCAAGGCCACAATTTCAACCATGATGGAATTGGAAGGACTGTGTATGGCTTCGAAAACGATCGCGAGAGCTCTGAAGTTGGCTACACCAACGTAAATGCTGCTAGTGGAGCTACAGCCAGTGCTACTCGAGCTACCTTCATGGATTCATATAGTGACCGAGAGTAGAATTATGAAATCATTGTTGAGACAGAGACGAAGAAAGGTGTCTGGCAAAGCACCAACGGCAACAGCAATGTTCAGGCTTTCTCACACTATACAGGGACGTAGAGGTGGGCCGAAGATATATGATTTGTGCTTGATTTCTTCTGCATTTTGATTGATGTCGCTTATATAGTTCTTTTCTGCTAACAAATGTGATTGAGAATTATCCAACATGACTTCTGTATTTCGGGCAAGGCAATTGTCGCAGCGTTCTTTGGAAGCTGGCAGTAATGCATGCATCTCGGTAACCATAAATTAGCTAAGCTAGAAGATATTGCCGGGAGTGTATCGTTCCGAAGCGTGGCTGCATGGTGCGATCTGCAGAAGCCCGCTTATAGCTTTTGGAGGCTATCTGCAGTCAGCAGAAGCCTTGGCCGTAGCCTGCTAGAAAATGATCCTGTTGGACCCCGCTCTCTTCTTCAATTTATCCTCATACTCACCCACAATCGATAGATTCTCCTAGTCTCGAAGCTGATCATGGACATTGAAGCTCAGAATATATACGGTCGGATTCACTCCCGCCAGGTACGGCTATTGAAGTTTCTTCCAGACGATGAACGTACATCTATCGTCTTTGAGGCGCACTCATCGATGGGCCAATGCCCTCGTATCGTGCACTTTCCTGTTCGTGGGCGAGTGACGGTAACGCAATAAAAAAGTCTTGGACGATCAAAACAGCCAGAGGAGATCTTCCAACTCTCGATTACTAGCAATCGTTTGTGCAGGTGCTGAGGTCAAACAAAACCATGTGCGACGGCCGATGGTGGATCGATTATTTATGCATCAACCAAGCCGACCTGGTGGAAAGAGCTGAACAAGTTAGGCTCATGCAGCAAGTCTACGACAGGGCTCACGAAGTCATCGTCTGGCTAGGAGATCAGTCCTCGGATAGCGATCGCGCCTTCAACTTCATCAAATTACACGACAAGATCATACAAGAAGCGAACAGCGACGAGCAGATCCGCAAATCTTTTGATTTACAAACAGACAAATACACAGCACATTGAACAGCACCATAGAATCTCCTATCGCGAAAATGGTGGTCAAGGGTTTGGACAATACAGGAGTTCGTCATATCACGAAACTTAATGTTCTGGTGTGGATTGCAAGAAGCTAGTAAAGCGGCCCTCTGCAACAGCATCGCTGTAGCAGACAAATATACATCCGTCGGTATCAAGGAAACAATTGCCTTCCGCTACGGTCTGAATCGAAAGAGAGTATGGAACCTGTACGAGGCTCAAGTGAAGGGTTGTCCCCAAATTACTCGTACCCTGCTATCACTCGCAGCGTACTTCTGTTCTATGGACATAACAGATGATCGCGACAGACTCTATGGCATGATAGCGATGGCAACAGATGGATCATCGCTCCTGAACGTTGATTATTCGTTAACCTGCGAAGAGGTTTACCTGCGATTCGCGCAGGCCTTTATTACACAGCACAAATCATTAGATATTATATGTTTTGCTACAATACACAAAGCGATATCTGGCTCGTCATTGCCATCTTGGGTGCCGGACTGGCACTGGAGGAACGCGTATCATGTCACACCTCTCATAGTCTCACAGTCTCACAACGACCAAATCGGGAATCCCCGGTCTCCTCGATACGTTGGCGATGGCCCGTATGTTCACTTCTCGGCTTCGAAGGGTAAATCGGCGGTTTATAAGTTCAATCACTCGCAGCTGCTTGTTCAAGGCGTTGTTGTGGACACTGTTGATGGGATATCCGCCTCTAAGGGTGCTCCATTTGTACAAAGCTCCGATGAAAACCTTCCATCTCCCAGTATTTCTTACACTGAGATTCTGGAAAGCATATGTCAAGCTCTGGCCTTGGATTGCAAGGATCGGTTTCTACGGCACCCTATGTCTGTCGAGGAATTCTTCTACGACTTTATACGCCTGTGTATACCACTTTTGAGAGTGGATTCCACTGCTTCCACTCTTACGGCATTGGAAGAGTGGTTCCAGAGGACTAGGCTCCTGCGAATCCAGGGAAGTACGTTTGATAGCATCCTTGGCGATCATTATCAAAGCAGTATAGACCTGTCTGGCCCAGCCCCAAACAACGACGAATTCATATTGGACTCATTCATAGACAGATTCTTTGACACCGTGATCAGGTTATCACTGCGTTTGATGGTCACTCAGGCCGGTCGCATTGGTATGGTGTCAGAGCAAGCGACAAAGGGAGATCTGATCTGTGTGCTATATGGCTGTAGCGTCCCTGTACTATTGCGCAAAGTTAGCAACAGTGAGAGGTTTTCCTTCATAGGGGAATGCTTCCTTGAAAACTATATGAATGGGCAAGCGCTGGATCAAACAGAACTTCTAGAGCAGACGTTTTGTCTTCAATAATAGGGCCGGGCAGACACGGTGACTGTCGCTGACATATTCACAATCGGTTCACGTGGGCGAGAGGATGCTTCCGTAGGGGCTGTGAAAGATGGCACGGAGGAGCAAAAGTTGGAGAACATCAAAGAAGTTAGTGATGATCTTGCAGGCACAGCGTCTACAAGACCAACAAAAGCGAGGAGAAATCTTCTGGGCGAGCGCTCGCATCTACCCGTTCAGCAGAGCTTCCGCGCAGTGGGCGAACGATAAGTCTTAGTCGGCATTGCTAACGCGGGACAGCTACTTAACATGTCAGGACGCTACTGCCTTCGTTGGTATGAACTCGCTGGATTCTTCCTGGAAGTCCGCTATGTGGCAGCGACTGTCGGGAGAGGGTTGATGTTTGAAAGCAAGATCGCGGGAGGCAGCGGCCCATGGTAAGGTGCCCGACATCTGATGGGAGCGGAATTGAAACATGCGGCGGCTGGGAAGGAAGTGATGGGATTGCTATCACCAAAGACGGCGGAGAGATCCGTCGAGAGGGCGTATGACTTTGTTGCAATGGCGCTGGCCATTCTACGATGGCACGCGCTGCGCAGCGGGAATGTGATCCCAAACCAAGGAGGCAGATGCTACTAGCAACTGACTCTGCAGCTGCGGAAGACACCTGTAGTATCGTTTGGGACCTCAGCCTCCCGGTATCTGGGTGGGGTTGCCACTTTGATCACAATGCTTAAGCTGAACAAGATGTTGAGGTAAACGAATGAAGAGACGGCGATATCCATGAAGTCTATCGATTAGAGTAACGCTCAGTAAGAACAACTTCGGGGATGGAATTAGCCGAAAAGCCAAATAATCAACGAGCAATGCTGGCCTGGAATTGAAACAGCGAGATGAGGCAGCATCCAAGTCCATGGACTATTGAAAGATGATATTGGCTTGGGCATGGCTACATGGGTTCCACTCGTATACTGACGCTTGAGATGCTTCGTAAGTTGTTGTTGGTCGAATCTTTTGCGGTTATCCCCCAAACTTGCCCTTCGCCTTGGCGAAAACGGTTTGAAGATTTGCTTCCCTGTATTTGTGTACGACAGCGCTGATTATATGGCCATATTTCAGATTCCTGGTTCAATTTTCGATATAGTGCCGTCGATAGTCGTATGTTGGTCGGTTTGGGGGGCCAGACGATCACGTATATGGCAAGGATCTCACCAGCGTTTAGAAAAAAGCGATGTGAATGGCGTGAGTATCATCGCAAGAGTCGTCGCATAGATCGAACGCTGACGCTGACCGCGTGGACGGATCGACCGGCTCGAGATGACCCGCCAGTATAGCCGCCCTCATGCCCAAGCCAAGCCGACTCACCAGCTGCTGCTGCCGATGTATCCCTCTTCGCTGCCATGCCCAGCCGCTTCGCGAAAACCTCTTGCCAGTGTATCCGTCATCGCCCCGGGTCTAACCTCCGCTCCCGACATGGTCGCAGCCTTTTACGCTATGTCGCTCTCGTTCGGACTCGTGGTATACGTGATCTATCGAGCGGCGATAGACTTGGAGGCAGAGAATGCGTCTCGCTCCAGCATTTGGGTCACGTCTCGTATCAAGGCGTCGTTCTTGCGATCGAAGGTCCTGCGACGTGTTAGCTACGCACACGACTATGTACTTCAGAACGACTGCGCTTACCTGTGTTCTGCCCGACTGGTCTTGTCCACATCTTCATCAGATTCCTCGACCGGTCCCAGCTTACGCATGTTATCTCCCAACTTCTTCTTGGCCTTTTCCCAGTTGATCTTCTGCTTGTGCTTCCTGACCAACTTCCTCCGCGGGAAGAGTAAGAACAGGATAGCTGTAGTGAGTCAGGACTGCTCGGTCGGTTCATCGACCGATTCTATTGTTCCGGCGGGTTATGCGATACGATTTCGTATGAACGGTGGGGTACGGGTGGACGCGCGGTGTGGGTTGCTGGCTGGAGCAATTGGCCGGCGCGAGCGATATCTCGACGCCGGCAGTCTACTGGAATCCATTGAGAGGTGCCCCGACATGTTGGCGGAAGTGAGGGTGAAGGATGAAAGCGCTGGCCTTGATGGTTACGCTCGCATGCGACGCGTCGACGGGGTATGTCGAGGACGACGAAGATGAAGGACACCAGGAGGAGAGAGAAAAGAGGACATCATGGCCGTAAGCGAAAACGAAGTGCTGGTATGCCTCGCTTGTCTAGTCGCGTCTTGGTCGTGATACTCGATCAAGCATCCACGAAGCTGGCTCTCCGCGATGACGATGGCTGAGTCAGCAATGCCACGGGCTTCCCCGCACCAGGCTAGCTGTTCTGCGAGCGACGCGAAACTGACACGGTGCCAGATGCCAAAGCGCTCAACTTACCGGTCCCATCGATACGAGGTTCCAGCGCTACACCGAATAGTTGATAACGCGATGTCATCCGTTGTTGGGGTACAGTAGGTATTGCGAAGCTGCATCGCTCAGTGTCATGCTAGGGAATTCACATTGTGGCCGTGTGGCGGTTGACTGTACAGCATGGACAGATCCGCTACATTTGCGCGACTCAAAATCTCTGACCCCTCAGAGATAGACCTCTTTGCCCTTGCTCTGCACTGGTTTGGAAGCTCGTGTTGTTCTTCTCCACAAGACCCAGCGCGAAATCGCTGCTTCCGTTCCAAGCTTGTCTCTCCACTATTGAAGCATCCCGTACGTCCTGGTCATCGTACCATGAGTATCTCTGGCTACGTAGAAATGTCTCCGGTGCTGCCAAAGACGATCAAAGGGAGTAAAATAGATCCCAGTAAGATGTGATGAAAGGACTTTAGACCAGACTCTAGAGACCTTGCAAGGTTCCCGAGCGCAAAAAGCACGGTGACAAAATATTTGCTGCAATCGACACCTTCATGTGATATTACCCGATCAGGCAGTTTCTTGCTTAGTGTACATCGCTGTGGATGTCGGCGAGGCCTCGCTGGCAGATGCATTCAATCATTTGGCGTCTGCTAGATAACAACTGAGTTCTACGGAAACGCTTCATATCTATGATAAGGTTGCCGAGCTGTGAGGTCGTTCCAGTCTTCTTGTGGTCGGCAGCACGATCTACCACCTACAGTAACCTCGGCTACTCAGATCGCGCGGCACATACAGGAAGGTCTACCTGTACCACGACAAGGTCATCTTATATAATCTCTCAACCGTATTACGAGTAACCTTCACAGCAGTTTGGAAGACTGGCAGGCAATAACAACATTATTATGAACGTTAACACCCGACACGACATTATAGAACTCGTAGATCCGCCTGATGTCCGGAACGCTGCTGACCCTCATGAGGGCACGGAACAACATTTTGTTCAAACCCCTTCGCCCTGTGATGGTGGAACTGCAGCATGGAGGATCCTGATCTCTGCCTTTATATTCGAGGCTCTGCTCTGGGGTGTGCCATCCCAACCTTAATCCTCCCCGTAAGAAGGTTAGAAAGCGTGAAGTTGGTCGCTAACTGCGAAGCCAGGATTCCCCCTCTCCTTCGGAGTCTTCCAAAACTATTATAGTCGACTCCCTCAATTCGCTTCGAATCCCTACATTTCCATCATCGGTACCTCGGCGTCTGGTCTATCGTACATCGGCGCCCCAGTCATGATTCCTTTGATCAAGCGATACCCAAGATATCGCAAACACATGATCTACACCGGCTGTATGCTCCTACATTCATACCCCCCTCCAAACCCCCTTAGTTAACCCACTAACCCTCTTCTTTCACCCCAGGGCCACTAACCCTCCTCTCACTCCTTGCATCGTCCTACGCTTCCACCCTTCCCCTCCTGATCCTAACCCAAGGATTATTCTACGGTCTAGGCTTCACCCTCTTCTACTATCCAATCCTGAGCATGGTAAATGATTTCTGGATACAGCGCCGTGGTTTCGCGTATGGCATTCTATGCTCCGCGTCTGGGCTCTCAGGTTGCATCATCCCTTTCGCCATGGAGGCCGCGTTGAATAGATGGGGGTATCGCATTACGCTACGAGCGGCTGCGGGCGGGTTGGCGGTGGTGACGGGGCCGCTGTTGTTGTTTCTGAGGGGGAGAATGGAAAGTGAACGGAGCATGAGTTCGACTCAGCCTAGGACGGACTGGAGGTTCTTGAACGCGGGACAGTTTTGGATTTATTCGCTCTCGAATCTTGTGCAAGGTTTAGGATACTTTTTTCCGGGGTTATACCTGCCTTCATATGCGAACTCGATTGGACTCTCGTCGCGCCAGGGGGCGCTGCTGCTGGCTATTATGGGTACTGCGCAAGTTGCTGGGCAGATGAGTTTTGGGTACCTCTCGGACAAGAAAGTGTCTCTCAACCTACTTATTACGGTTTCGACAGCAATGTCGAGTATTGCTGTATTGGCGTGCTGGGGTATGGCAAGGCAGTACGCGGTTTTAATTGTCTTTTCGATTGTGTATGGGTTTTTTGGGGCAGGGTATACGGCTATGTGGGCGAGGATGGGAACAGCGGTGAGCAGTGACCCTACCGCTGCTTTTGCAGCGTTTGGGCTCCTCAATCTAGGAAAAGGGGTCGGAAATGTGGTTGCGGGGCCTGTTGGGGGTTCCTTACTCGGAAGTGCCGTGGACAGTACCAAGTTCGGGGTCGGTAAGTTTGAGGGGGTAGTATTGTTTGCCGGAGGTTGTATGGTCGTCAGTGGGTTGACGCTGGGGCTTGGGTACATGAAGAGAATACCACACGTGTGTAAGCTATTGATGGAGATTTGGAGCAAGAGGCGGGATTTCTAACTGGAGAGCGCTCTTGCGCTGCAACCATGGTCATGCACTCGGTGGGACGCATGTAGGTACTCTATAAGAAAGCAGTCAGTTCAACCGCGTTTGATCGATGATATAGCAGTGTTGCGAGGACATCTTGAAGATATACGAGGGTAAGGGGACGAAGCGTCGACGCCTTATCGCTTGCAAGCAGCAGGTCAGTTCGAGCCAGTCTACTGTAGCGCGTGGAGGAGAGGACGAGAGAAAGGGAAGAGCAGATATGTGAAGATGGTGATTTCTACAGGCCGATACAGAGTATGTTCGTGACTAGTGAAGGCAGCAAGTAATTAGGTGGCGTTATTTATACAATATGGTATGCAAGAGACTTTACGTTCGAGTGTGATATCTACTCCCCAAGAGAGGCATATGTGTTCAACATCGGTTTCTTACACCACCGTCGGTCAGAAGTAGACCCAGTCAAATCCGCCTCATCAGCACTCCTCTTCATGTCTGAGGAAGGCGGCGTGATCGCAGAAAGCTCTTTCCGATTCTTCGATACGAAGTGCGCGATATCCTTCAGCGTCGGTTTGCCCTCTTTTCTACATCCCAGCCACTTGATGTTGACTAAAGGTAGCCCTTTACTCGAGAACAAGGCTGGAAGCTCCTTTGTTAAGGATTGGATCTGCATCTCATTGATGGTGTCATTCTTCAGCGCGAACCCCAGATGCAGAAAGCGTGCGTGGGACGATATGCTAGATTTCTGCGCTGGACGCTCATTCTTTGGCTTGAGCTTCCTCAGTTCAATGTGTCGACTACTGCCTGGGATGCGCCGCCATAGTCTCGGGGGTGAGTCAAAACGTTCTTTTGCCATGCGCTCGACTAGATCGTGGGTGTCAAAGTAACTGCCATAGTTACCAGAGCTCTCCACGGCTAACTCCTTCAGGTGTTTAATGAGGCAGCGAGTGAAAGAGTTCTCGCCGGGCTCAGGGGTGGGCGCGCCGATATCTGAAGCGGCTATCATCTCAAATGTTCGACCGTGTTCAGGAACATTGCGGAGAAGGTCGCTGGCGTAGCAGCAGTCCATTATGGTGAGGACGTTGGCTTTTACCTTCTCGATCAGGGTCCTCTCAGCTTCGTTCCAGATTGCTCGAAGGTCATTGTCCACATCGTCAGTCCTGGTATCGCTGTTAGCTGATTTCCTTGGACTTTTCGTTGGGATATGTACGGTGAGAACTCAAGGACCTTGAGAGACTTGTCGTAAACACCATGACCGGCGTAATATACTACGAGCAGGTTGTTGGGATCATCGTGCTCGTACACCCAGCGATATATTTCAAGCTCAAGCTGGACTTGCGGGTTCTTCTCTTCTAGTTGTAACTCAGTCACTTCGTAATTGAAGATTTTCTTGAAGACGTTCGTCAGGTCATCGACCTAGTGAATGTTGAATTAGGATCATAATGTCAAGATCATGAGACCAAGGGATACCTCCATACCTCTTGCCGCACGTTCAGTTGATCTATCGCGTCTTGCCATTTGATTACCAAGACATGTACATTGCGGTATCCATCTGGCAGATCTAGATGCTTTGCGATTGACTTGTCCCAGCATTGTTGGAGTTTCGCTTCATGCTGATCATCTTGAGGATAGCGAATTTCTCCAAGGTTGAGACTCAACGGCGAAGGAAGGGAGCTAGTGTTGTTCACCGACGATGTAGGTGACAGCGGGTTGCGTACGTTGCAGCGACTAAGCGGTGCCATGATGCGAGAACAATTGGAAGTGCGAGTGGTGATCAGGGTTAACTCCTATTGATGATTGTGCGACATGTTCGCACGTCTAGCCTTGTCACACAAATTTGGGGGCTGCGAACCTGAGGCTGTGCTTGGTCACGGCCCCATCATGCCTGTCAGCCACCGAACATGTTGATTAGCCAGCATGCAGGTAATACCAGCCACACGATCACACGGAAGGTCCTCCAAGCTCCAAAGGGCTAATGGTTCTCGAACTCCGCCTCGTAGAACGCCTAGTCTCATGCGATCATTGGCGGGGACAAGGTAGGCGAACGATCAGTAACAATAGACAAACTGCTGCCTGTGAGAAAAGCAATTATAGCTGACCGGCACGCTGCACCTCGCCCACCATCGCGACGATGAGGGACCCTCAGCTGAAGATGCAGAGGGCGATAAAAGCCTTGACTCAGCCTAACGTGAAAGGCTGACAACCAGGCCCATCTCCAACTCTTCTTACTCGCACTCATGACCGACGAAGGACGACAAACAACGCCGGAAAAGCATATCGATGGCCAGCAGCAGGTATGACCCTATCTACCAGTATCTTTCGTGTTTCGCACTGATTGGGGTAGACGGAAAAGGTTGCGAGGGAGCGTGCAGGGGTAGTGCAAGGGTTGGGGGGTGAAGTAAGCGTCATGCACGCCCCTGTCAAGTAAGCCCCAACACTGATTGGTCGCAGATCGTTGCAAAATACGTTACCCGAGAAAAGATTCAAGTCACAGAAACCATCGGCACCAGGCAAAAGAAGAAGAAGCTTTATGTCGCGTTCAGCCGAAAGACCTCAAACTCGAAGATGGAGTATCAACTAACCGAGACGGAAGGCGATACCACAAAGCTCTACATGAACGGGAAGTGGTTTCCTGAGGACAAAGTCTACGTGGTTTGAGACACCTGAGCCAATCAGTACAACGAGGCTTGACCGGTGAAGAAGCCCATCGATATTTAGTCCCCAGCTGAGAATGTCAATTGTTTTCGTCCTTTAGAGACCTTTCTCATGTCTTCGATCATCCGGTGATATCTCTGTGTTCCAGCCTCTCATATCATGACTTCTCCCCCAGCATCACCGAATGAGAAGGAGTTCTCCAGCCCCTGTACACGGTACTCCAATGCGTCTTCATCATCCACTCTTCGTTCCAGCACAACTCTAAAGTCGCTGCGACACGTAGCAAACAGCTTCGGACTGTTGCTACCGAGAAAGAAGCCAGCCGATGTAGAACAGCAGGCCGACTCTACCATTGGCGAAGACGATGATGATGAAGACGATGATGGGCCTATCTTTCCATCCGGTGGGTCAGGGCCGTATCCAACCAAAGTCCGAACACTCGAAAAATGCCCGAATGGCTACGCACGACTCGCAGCCTTCAATGCAAGTGAACAAAACTTCATGCTCTACCGCGGCTTCAGCAACGTTCACGCACGCCTCCTCTTAAGCCTTCAAGCCAGTATCCAGAAGCTGGAAGCCGAGCTAGACGACATTGACCGCTTCCATAACACCCTTCCTGAGGCCTCCAAGAAGCGCTTGCGATCCTGGGACCTCGACGTCGCAGCCTGCAGACAAGAGAAAGAGGAAGCAAAGGAAGACGGAGACGAAGATGAGTTTCGAACGCGAGAAGATATCCTAGAGGAATTGAGAATACAAGTAAACCGTTACGATGAGCTACTGATCAAAGCAAGAGAGCTTATCTCTTTTCAACGACCGACCGAACGTGATTACCGAAGCGTGAGAAACTGGATCCACAACATTGCGCCCCTCGTAGACGAGGAGCAAGATTATATACTATGGAAAGAGGACATCGTAACGCTCAGACATGGGAGGGAGTGGGCGGGTTTTGACGGCATGGTCGAAGCGATGTTGCATAAGATAGATAGCCGACCCATTCAAGTAAGTAATCTATGTCATGCCAGGTCTCCAGGCTTTGCTCACAACCCGTAGTGGCTCTTCCGGACCGATGATCAGAGGCGTAAATCCACGGATAAGAGAAATTACTACTTTGCACCTTCGAGAGTGTCGACGCTAGTAAATCTCTGCATTACTGTTGCGCTTTTCTTGCTGCTGGTAGCTCCGGTCTTGGCGATGTACCGTCTCTCGACTATCAAGACCACAGAATGCGTGTTTGCAGCTATTGGGGTCTTAATGGTCTTCACGCTGCTGTTTGCTGCCGCTATGTCGCTGCTCACGAAGGCGAAGAGGCATGAGTTGTTTGCTGCAGCCGCAGCGTATTGTGCTGTCTTGGTGGTTTTTGTTGGGTCCACTAACTTCAATTGACGTGGGAGAAGTAAGTCCTTGTGAGGAGGTTGACGTAATGGCTTTGGAGGATCACATGGTACGATGTGAGGCTACACCGCAGCAACTGCGTTGCAGCCACGTAACTACTATATGTTAGTGCTCTACAGGAATGCGGCCAGCCTGTGACATAAAGTCGGGTGGATTAATCTATCGTTTCTTGGGCGTACTTACAATATGAAGAACGATAATAGCTTCCTGATCGACATCATGATGATTCTTCAAGACATAGAGGCCTTGTCCGATAGGCTGCTGATTCTTGAACAGTTCCAACCAAGCAGCATGCCTAATGCTTGGCAATATGACCTCCCCTTCGTTAGGGAAGGCAACAGCGCGCAGGTGCTCGTGTGCTATGTAGAACTGTTATTGGCCGAAACATAGCGGCGCTTCCACATACAACTTTCGCAACTCTCTCTTGTCACGATTGTCGAAGTAACCCTTTTGGTTACTCCAAATCCGGTGCAAGCCTTGTTGTCTACGCTCATGCACCAGGCATATACGGATGATAATTTCCCGCCGGCGGAGAAGGCCATAGGAAGACGCGCTCCAGCGAGCTGATGATCGCAGAGATCTCATCGCCCCGACATGGCCGAGGGTTCGCTAGAGTAGGGGAGTCTTTATCTGGAGGAATGGCGCAGGGGTGGGGAGCAACGTGGGCGTGAAACGGCGGAGAACGCCCGGAAAGAAGCGGAGGCGGTATGGGACGAAGAACAACGTAGGCGTAAGAAGGCGGTGTAAGTCTAGAAAAAGGCCGCAGAGAAGAGGCGCCCGACCATTCTTCTCAAGTTCCTCAATAGACGCCACAACCATCTCCACTCCGGTCCCCTGTCTGGACCAACCCAACACAGTCGACACGAGGCAATCCCAGCACTGCGAACAACAAGCTTCCACTAGAAAGGTGAGCCCCATGGGCAGACTCCCAAATATAGCAGCTGACTAATCAGGGCGATCTCATGTACTCCGCTAGACTTCAAGAACCACACTAACACGCTTAGCCTAATTCTAAGGCTCCAAACAGTATTACCAACGTAGGATTAGAGTTACTCTTCAAGCAAGACAGATAAGCTTACCTGCCAGAGTAAGCTACGGATGTCCCGGAACGCCATCGTAAGCGAAACCTATCAAATTGCCTTCCGTGCATTTAAAGTTTGGTAAGATTATTAGGCCGAGATATTCCGGTAAACGATGCGCAGCCTGTACTTGTATACTTCTCTTACTGCACGACTCAAAACCAGCATAGATTCACTATGCGCCCGCAGCGGATTAGTGATTCTGCGTATTACTACTTTACTCGTAAACGTTCCCATACTAGCGCAAAGCTTCTTTTGGCTCTTAGAATCTTGCTTCCACTGCGTTTGCTACCTCTATCGCGACATCAGTGGTTACAGGGTTTTTCCGCATCACAGCGTAAGAAGGAAAACAGCAATTACGATCGTCAGAGAGGTAAAGAACAGCGGCCTGCAGAGCAGTGAGCAGTTCATCCAAGGACTTCTCAGGTTTTGGGAGCTAGCTGTCACAAGCCTTAGATCGCACCAGGATCGGCAAGATTGTGCAAGTATATTATTAAACATAGTCCGTGTTGCCTGTTTCCATTCGCGCAAAGACTTGTACCCGGTAGAACAAACTATCAAAATTACCAAGAGTAAGATGTCAGCACGGAAAGCGCTATTACTCCGTATAATCCCGAACAAGGCGAAACGACAAGGACATGATGCTTTGCACAAGTGAGAAGCCGGCTCTGTTCAGCGATGCTCTACCGAGGCCTCGTTTCCTGCATAATCATGGCATCGAAGTAAACTCTGACCATCCTGAGACATCTTGGCGACGATATAAAGTCTGCTCTCCGGCTGTGCTGGAATACTTAACCATCCTTCACAATCACAAATACTTCGATCCACCAACAAACAACATGAATCTTCTGGTCCTTTTTGCTATGTTCGCTTCTATCGCTTACGGACAAGACGGGGCATGTATTCTCACAGATCACGCACTGTAAGATCTATCTACTGACGGATACCAATAGTTGTGTTTCATACCTGACGAAGGTGGACCTGGAGAATGTGTTCCATTCAGGCCAGTAGCTAACCGACGGTGCCGGGTATGTCTTATCCATCTTGCGACAGAGACGAACATTGTTGACACGAAGGTTCTGCGACAGGACGCGCCATGTACGGGGCAACAAAATGATTGCTGGGTTACTGGTCTCAACTCAGCGAGGTGTTCATAAGCTTGTGAACTAGACAGCTAAAGTCGCGACGACTTCTTGCCAGGTTCAGGCGAGCTGAGAAGATGAGTTGAGATGGTTGTGAAGTTGGCACGATCCTGGGTGGAAGTAATAGGAAGCTTCTGGTGTGAAGACAAGAGTTGGTTCCAGAGCGATTGCCGTGTATCCAAGATGCGAGAGACCTCTCAACTCTAGCATACACAAATATCATACACATTCAGTCGGCTGACCAGGCTCGACACTGCTCATCTAGCATCAATGAATGCTGCCCAAGTTTTGCGAGATAAGGCTCATCAATGTACAGACCCCCGCTGTGAGGAATAGCGCTGTAATCAAAATCCACGATGTCCCATTCTCGTCGTGTAAGCGAACAAAGCTCTGGCACTCCTGCATCAAGAAGTCGCCTGTGTGTGGTGACCAGATTGAACGGACCATGCTTTCACCAGAGAGGTCGGCCCTATGGGCAGGCAAATAGTATGTTTATTGTGTGTACAAAAACAGATGAATTTCTTCTCCTCTCTTCCACCCTAACAGACCCTTACTTCTATAGCAAGCTCTTCGTCCGTGCTCTAAGTAACTACTCTGTGCACCAGCACACTATGTTTGGAAAATGTGTGTAGGTACTAGAGACGATCGTTTTGCAACATCTTCCGCCAGCTGCGCTATACTACGAGAGCTCATTAGCTCAAGGGATGGAATCTGCGCGCTTAAGAGTTTTGACATCCAATTTTGTAACTCTACCGAAACCAAAGAGTCCATACCGTAACTCGCGACTGAGCGACTAGGTTGCAAGTCCTGCTCAGGAAGCACCAGGAGCTGTGCAATCTTGGCTCTCAATGCTCGCCAGGTGAGTTCCTTTGCCGTTTTGGGTGTTTTGACGGTCCTTAATGCTGTCTGGATATCAAATACGTCTTCTTTCCCATCGCGAGTTCCATGGTGACGGTCAGGTGTTCGCTTATAGACATGCAGAAACTTAGGATCTTGGTATCGCCGATCTCCATGGAACGAGTCTGGGACTTGACGTCTACCACCGCATATGATCTGAGCATTCTTCGGTTTGCTCGCTCGAGAATTCGTCATCGCAAAGTTCAGCACCGCTAAAAACTCATCAATCGTGTACTCACGCAAGCCCAGGCGTCGATGAGACATCGCAACATGCTCATTTTCAGCTACAATCCCTTCACCAGCTATCATTCCAACATCAATACTGATAACAGGATGACCGTGGTGCGCACGATTCTGAGCAAAGGCATCTAGAAACGTGCTGCTTGCACAGTACCCGCTGAGAGCTGGGGCACCAGCAATGCCATCGATACTGGACAGTAAAATGAGGAAGTCGAGATCCTGGAATGATGATTCATGAAGATTGATAGTTCCTTCCACTTTGGCAGAGAGGCTTTCCGTCCAATCTTGCGCTGTCATGTCTTTGGAAAGTCCAGTCTGCAGGTTTGTTACTTAGATCTCAGGGAAATTAGAGTTTGATAGACTGACCTCGGGCGTCATTGCACCTTGGAAAATGCCGCTTAATGGACGATCATGGGTGAGATCTTGAATCTCTTGCGTAAAGGCTCGATCGGAAACACTGCCTTGGACCTCTGCGATGATGGTCGAACTTTGAGACAACTCCTGTTTCAAGTTTCTCATTTCCTGAGAACTATGACCCGATCTCGATAAGGTAATGATTTGTCCCGCACCTAAACTAGTGAGGTGACGTACCAAAACGCGACCCAAACCTCCAGTACCACCGACTACCAAGTATGAACTGTCGTGTCGCAGTTTGGGTAATGGCGGCACTTGTGGTTGAACCCTGACAGTTGAGGCTGAATCAAGTTTCAGCACAATCTTGCCTACATGCTTCCCAGCCTGCATGAGTCTGAAAGTGCTCTCGAGCTCCGATACAGGCTTGATATCAATGGGACGTATGGTTGAAGAGATTGTTGAGCTGACAATCTGCAATGCATCTGTAATCAGTTCTCGAAAGACCCTGGGCTTACTTTTAGCAAGTAGCACTAGATCCACGACTGCGAATGTGATGCATTTCAACAACTTCTTCATCTCCAATCTCCCATTGTTTATGAGATCTCTTTTCCCGGTCTCGACAAGTCTCCCAAAGTCTGCAAGGATACTGGCAGTCTCTGTCAATGCATCTCCTGACAGGGAGTTGAGGACCACGTCTACACCTCGATTACTGGTTCGCAACAAAATTCCACGTTTGAAGGTATGGTCCGTACTGCAGAAGATATCATCGTCCTCAATGCCAAACTTCTCTTTTAGTTGATCTCGTTTTGCTTGGGAGCTGACTGTGAGAAAGATCTTGCCTGCTTTCAAATGTCGCGCAACGACGATTGCTGCTTGGCCAACTGCTCCGGCAGCAGAGTGTATGAGTACCGAATCACCGGGTTTGACATGAGCAACATCCCGGAGGCAATGCAGTGCCGTTAAGTAAGCGACTAGAACTGCTGCAGATGTACTGAGTTCGAGTTTCGATGGCGAGAGGAAGACGTGATCCATGTTCAAGTTGCTGATGGTAGCCAACCCATCTGGACCGAAGGCACAAACTTTGTCACCTTTGGTAAATCGGTACTGGGCTGCCTTCCCGACTTTCAAGACCGTTCCACTTCCTTCTACAAGGAGGTTCATTTCAGCACCTAATTGACCCATGCTGGCCATCAGATCGCGGAAGTTGACACCTATATATTCAAACGCCACTTGAACTTCATGTTCGCCGAGTGGGGCTGAATCGCGTTGGCTATGTTCCCAGTAAATCGTGTCAAGAAGACCTGGATGTCGGATTCGCAATCTCAAAGGATGAGACCCATGAGAAATTTCCTTCAGGCGTGGGTGATACTCAGATACCGTATCCTGATTGTGATTGTTCAGGGTATCGTTTGGCATTAATCGTGGTATTAATACTGTGCCATTTCGAATCACGTACTCGGACTCAAACTCGAAGCTTGTCCCAAACGTAGGGAGAAGGATCTTATGAATCAATCCTCCGAGTTCACTGACCGTTTCTGTGCTGTTCGCAGATTCGGGGTCGATATCTATCGTCAGAATTCTGCACTGTTGCTTCTCAGCCCGTAAGCTCCGACTCAGGCCGGTGATTATAGCGTGATGAGGCGTAGAACATTCGGCTGTGGCTCCAAAGGTCACCCAAACGATTGTTCCAGTAGACTCAACAATCTTCTGCAGTGCGATCCACTCTGTCTCTGAAGGTTTTTCCAAGTATGACTGCTTTGAAAGATGCGGTAATATGATGTAAACATCTTGATTCGCATCAATTCCAGATAAGTGGCTTTGTAAGACAGAGAAGCGATCGTTATGGACATCGAATTGACATTTCAGCATACTGGAAAGCTCCACAGTTTGCTTCGTGTTAATGATGGCAATCTTCTGGAAGCCTGGAACGCGCTCTGGCTGCGGAGTGTTGATCGCGATAAGCACACTCATCTCATGGTCTTCAGCAGACTCATAATCCTTCATCTCTTGTGAAAGACCTGAGGATCCGCCTGCCTTCAATGCGTCATCCCATCTTTCGGCACACAAGAGTGGAGAAGACTCCCGGCCGTCGTTCACGCCAAGCCACCAACCAGGTAGCGCGCCACCAAATATACCCCATCGCAATGAAGGATTGGTGATTTCGATGAATACTAGTGCCCCTCCTGGCTTTAAGAGAGTGCGAAGATTGCAAAGTGTTTTCTCCAAAGATGACGTGACGTGTACTACATTTGAAGCGATGATGTAATCGAAGGAGTTGAGCTCGAGTCCTTGGTCCCCAGGGGCTTTTTCAATGTCGAACTTTTGAAATTCCATGATGGAATGCCACTGCTCGAGGAGATGTTTTGTGTGACGGATAAAGTGCGTTGAAACATCTGTAAACACATAGCTCCCTACTTTAGCACCATGGCTCTCTGATAGTTTGCGGAGTAACGGGACAGTCAGACTACCTGTCCCACCTCCTACTTCGAGGATGCGCAGTTCCGAACTCTTGAGTTGTGCAAGTTGAAGATACTCAATCATTTGTGCATGACATCGAAGAAGGTTGTCGTCATCGAGGTAGCATCGATATAGGAGGTCCTTTTCCAATGCTAGCTCCAAAGGATTCACATCTCCTAGAAGAATGTCCCGTAAGTGAGACCCCATCTGCTGAACTGCTTCTCCGACAGCGCCAATCTTCATGTTTTTGAGGTCCGCTGAAGCGCCCACCGCCGCGAATGGCTCAGTTTCAACGGAACGCATCCAACGGAGGAGGTGTCTCCTATCTCCTGTAACTTCCTGCTCGTGGGATACAGAGAGACCCAAAAGTGTTTCCTGAATGGCTTTCCGACAAAAGGGGTCGCATTTCTGACGCAAGTGCAACGGTTCCACTGCGATGGCTTCTCTCTGACAATGTTCTACGATGGCATTCCATGGCGTCTTGGTTATGTCAATGACCCATTCCAGTTCATGGCAAAGCTCCGGAGCTTCTCGATCGCCAGTGTTCATCTTACTGGCATCCTGAAGGGTGGTGAATATTAAGCCATTAGCCTCAATCAAAGCATCATTGGGATGACTTGACGGACTGAAGACTTGAAGTGTTGACGAATGCTTCGATGGTCCGCAGATATCGGCCTTCACTTGGACGCAAAATTCGGATCCCGGTGCGGAGGGTATATCTGTTGACACCTGTAGTTCCGCGATAGATGTCAGAACGGTGCAGTTTTTGAGTCGGTCAACAGCCTGTAGCGCTGAAAATATACACTGCAAGGCAGCTTCCATCGTGGATGCGTGCAGACAATGCTTCTGTTGATACTCTCCTGGCATCATAGACTGAACGTCGTATATAGCGAAATTACACCTCGACTCCCACTCCCGGGTCTGAATAGCGGAAATGATTGAAAACGGGCCCGAGTACTCATTGCCAAGCGTACGCATGTCCCTGTAGAATTTGGTGGGGTTTCTTTCCCTCCATTGCCCCGAAGGCGGGTTGTTTCCATGGGTCGATGCTCGCGATTAATTTTGGTGGCAAGGGACCATTGATACCAGACCCCGACAGTGCTGAACTGATTCGCCCTCGCAGGATATTGAGAAGATCCTGAACTCCTTCCATGTGCTGGATGATTGGGAAGCTGATTGTGCCTGTGATCGAATGTGAAGGAGCGTCTCCACCCCGATGGTGTTGTCATTTGTTATCAGCAGTGGACTTTCGAATTGGATATCTCTGAACGATACCACTGAACCTTTCCATTGGCCATCTCTTGAAAGCGTTTTGATCTCTCTCAATGCTTCAACTACCATGGCGATGTACCCTGCACCAGGGAATACCTTCTGTCCGCCAATACAATGGTCTTTTAACCATGGAATTTCGGCGGGTCGCAGATAGTTCCTCCAAGTAGGTTCATCTCTGATACTATCCGCGGCTGGGACGCCCAGAAGGTCATGTCGAGGTAGATGTCGAAAGCGGTACGCTTTGCTACGACGTGATTCCTGCCAATGTACCTTGTCGTGGAACCACTGGTATGGCGGCAACCCAGTTAGAACTGCTTCCTTTGGCTCTTCTATCGGATGATTTACGCCCCTCAAGCAGACGCGAACACCATGAGAGAAAAGCTTCCCCGCCAGCTCGAGAATAGATTCAAGGGCATCCTGATTTCTGACAAGAGCAGAGGCATAAGTCGTTGTCTGCGATCGGTTACAAGCCTTGACCGTCTGTTTGATTGGCCCTTCAAGTGCACTGTGGGGTCCGATCTCTACCAAAAGCTTCAAGTCTGTCTCTGTTGTGCTGTTGTTTCCATCAGAGAGCGTTGAAACAATACTGGTAATTGCATCAGAGAAGCGGACTGGTAGCACTAGGTTTTGCGCCCAATACTCCAGACCCATTTCAGTTCCATCCATCGGTCGACCTGTAACAGAAGAAATAAGGATCGTTTCGTTATGTGCCGCTCGAGGGTTGATCCCCGAAATCCAGGTCAAATATTCTCGATATACCTGAGCCACGTGATGCGAGTGGTAAGCAACATCGACAGCAAGCATTCGACTGAACACTCCTTCACCAGTCAGGCGTGACTGTAAATCTTGAAGCCGTGGTTTGTCACCAGAGATGGTAACACTAGAAGGGCTGTTGACGCATGCAATCGCCAGCTGATCGGGTGACTCGTCGACTATTTTCCTTGCGACGGTCTCGGGCAGCCCGACTGCTAACATTCCACCATCCAGGTTAGGATGAGATTTCTTCAACTGTACAATGGCGCATCCACGAAAGTATGCAGCGCGAAGTGCGTCTTTCCTTGTGAGAACTCCAGCGGCATATGCTGCTGCTATTTCCCCACTCGAGTGACCACAGACGAAAGCGGGTCGTATACCCCACGTAATCAGCAGATCAACCAAAGCAATCTGTAATGTAGTGCAAGCGGGTTGTGCAATATGTGCTTCGTTCACGATTGAAGCCTCTGATCCCATAGAGATCTCGGAAATCAACTTCCACTCCGCTCCCAGTTCTTGAAACTCTTCTTCTGCAGTCATCATCGCTTGAGCGAATACTGAATAGCTGGACAGCAATTCTTGTCCCATTCGAGGCCACTGAGCGCCTTGACCTTTAATGATCATGTCAGTCATAGCTTCCCAGTCTTATGTCTTACACTCACCCGTAAAAACGAAACAAACTTTGTGTTGTCCACTAAAGTTAGTCTCTCTGATTGAGCCCCTTAACATATCCTCAATCTTCCCACATAACCCATGGTTATCATAGGCTACCATCGCTGCCCGACACGCGAAGTGAGATCTGCGGCAGCCTAACGTGAATGCTAGTGTCTCTGGACTGCAGACATTCTTAGCCTGAAGGGGTGCTGTCAGATGACGCTTCAGCTTTGTAGCCCATCTGGCAATTCCTCCTTCCCGATGATGTGAAAATACAAAAAGATAAGCTCTGCGGTGCTCTGAGGCCGTCTCAGCAGCATCCCTTGTTTTTTCAGATGCGCCGAAAGAATGGAATCTTGGAGGCGCTTCGATAATAGCATGGCACGTGGTTCCGCCGTATCCAGTGCTGTTGATAGAAGCACGTTTCAGCGCTCCTACTGGCCACAAGGTTGCTTCGCGTGGGATCTGTGAACGTTGGTTAGTTCATGCATATCACGCTTTGTGCTTGGTGAATTACAGTGATGCCCATCTGATCAAGCGGAAGTTGTTCACTAGGTTTTTCGAAGGTTGGAACTGGCGGAATGACACCGTTCTCGATCGCCAAAACCGTCTTGATTACAGATGCTAAGCCAGATGCGTTTTCAATATGTCCCAGATTGGACTTGACACTTCCAACGAAGATTTTCTCTGTGCGGTCCTTGCCCATCGTCGTTGCGAATGCTAAAGCCTCGGCTTTGTCGCCAATTATAGTCCCCGTGCCTAAGCCATGATCAGATGGCGTCAACATCCATGTCATGTATTAGACTTACCGTGTGCTTCAATGTATATCGTGTCGGCCAAAGTAAGGCCTGCCTGCTCGTACGCTTTGGTAATAGCCTCAACCTGAGAGTCCATTGACGGCATGGTGATGCCTGGAGTTCTACCATCTGAGACAACAGAAGTGCCACGAACAATAGCTCGGACAGAATCCCCGTCCCTCAGGGCTGCACTTAACGGCTTGAGCATGATACCAGCAACTCCTTCACCACGGCTGTAACCGCTAGCGCGAGCGTCGAAACTGTAGCATCTGCCATCTTGCGACAGGAACCTACGAGAAAAGGGATGGTGTCAGCAGCTCAATTTGATTTCCATAACTTCATAGTACTTACTGCATAGAGGACTGGACCATGAGCTTGTCTGGGTCCAAAATGAGGTTCGCGCCGCCAACCAACGCCTGATCAATATCACCCATACGGAGAGCACGACAAGCCTCATGTATGGCAACCAATGTACTAGAGCATGCGGTATCTATAGTCATGCTGGGTCCACGTAGATCGAAGAAGTAAGATATGCGGTTAGCTAGCATTGACGCCCCTGTACCAGTGAAGCGGTATCTTACTGATGTGTCAGATTTGAGCCACTTATTGCCTTTCTAGAAACAGATTGACGGGACTTACTTTGCTGAGAGCTCAGGATCTCGACCCAAAATCTGGTCGTAGTCCTGATAGGTTGAAGCACAGTATACTCCGGTCTGAGACTTTTCAAGCACCTTTACAGTGAGACCAGCATTCTCGAAGGTTTCGTGTGCCATTTCTAGCATGAGACGCTGCTGAGGATCCATGGCCTGTGCCTCCAATCCACTAATGCTGAAGAAGTCGTTGTCGAAGGCGGCAGGGTCTTGTCGAAGTAGGTGGAGCCCATTGGCATTGAACTATCGAGCATAAGATATAATTGCATTGTTTGACAGACTGGGTAAAGCCTATTGAACCAGCAAGATCGTTTTTGGGGTGCCAAAAAGATTCCAGTTTGAATCTGTTACGAGCGTCTCTAGACCAGCTGGTCATGCCTTTGGATAGCATCTGCCAAAAGGCATCGGGAGTATCCGCCATTCCAGAGAATCGACATGACATACCAATGATGGCTATAGGGTCGAATGACCCGTCGTAGTCCCCATTGCCTTCGTTATCAGTCGCTTTGTCATCCATAGGTCGAGCTTGTCAAGTGAGACGAGAATTTGATGGGAGTAAGTTATCAGCCGTGAAGAAAGTGATGTGAATGCTTCGGGGTGCAAATGCGACATCGCGTTTGACTCCAGTTGTAAATAATCGTTCCATCATTTCTCTGTGGAACAAGTCGTGCTTGGGTCATAGGTTAAGATTGTGCCACGTATATTGTACGGAAGCAATCTTACGAGTACCCGCTGCATGAATGTTGCATCAATGCTGCATGGGGTTGCATGTATGCTGCACGTGAAAAAAGCCGTGGCATAAGAGGCGTCTGCATGTAATCCACCTGGATGTAGCCAAACTAATGCAAGGTCTGTCACGATATATGGTGGCATGATCGACCGCGGTCGCATACTCTTCTCCAATTCACTTACAGGCTTGGACAGAACACATTGATTAAGTTCAACTCTCGTCTCAATCATTGCTTCTCCAACAATCTCAGATACCCCTTAGCATAGTCATCATGCAACAAACTAAAGTTCGACCTAGTATTCCACTTGGACATAGCTACACGAAGCTGACTCCTCTGGACCAATACATGGTGCGTGTGATCCTTCCCATGATGTGTGTTTTCCAGCTTGACAGCGACGTCGATCGATCGAGTGTGGTTCAAAATCTACAAGCCGGCCTGATCCACACTATCGACGAGATCAACATTCTTGCAGCCTATGTCGTTCTCGAAGACCCTCGCCGTGGTACTATCCACCTGGAATTCGAAGAAGATGCAGGTATCACCTTCTTTGTCAAAGATATGCCTGAAGTCCGGTTCGAAGATTTAGCCAAACGCCATTTCCCTTTCTCAGGCATGGAAGCATCTGGATACTGTCCTGAGCCCTTAGGACATACTGAAAAGAGCCCTGTGATGACTGTTCAAGTGACATTCATCACTGGCGGGCTCGTTCTTACTTTCAATGGGCATCATTCTGTGCTGGATGCACAGGCACTAGGCACTTTTGCCGAGACTTGGGCTAGGAATGTCCACGCTGAGTCGCGTGGATGGACGGTTGCGAGTTCAGATCGACTTCCGGCCGGTTGTCTAGATGGGTCATATCTCCTCGGCGGCCACTGTGGGAAGTCATTGCAAGAGTTCCAGACATACAAATCGATCCCAAACTGTCAATTCCAGGAGACGCAGTGTCATATTCTCGAGTCAGCTGTGAAGGGCGATCGTGGACAGCAAGAACATCTAGTTAAACTCTCGCACTGGATCTTAACCCCCGACGCGATCGACCGACTGAAACAAGCCAATCAGCCGCCTTCTCACGATCTTCCATTCATGACTGAAAATTCATTGATCTCCGCGCTCGTTTGGCGGTACATAACTCGGGCCCGACGAAGCGCAGGAATCACTGTCGACAATAGTTCGATTCTGAGCTCTGTCAATGTGCGCAGACGCGTTGATCCACCTCTACCGCTAGAGTACATTGGTAACGCGATCGTTCTAGCACGTGCCAATGCTTCTGTTGGGAAACTGCTGTCGGATGAAAGTGGATCACTCTATCAATTGGCTCATGAGATCACTGATTCAATTGATTGGTGGACCTCCGAACGTATCTGGGAGCTCGCTGGAACAATCGATACCATCGACAACGTATGCAATGCAATGCACCCACCATCCGGCTATGATGTATTGATCACGAGCCCTTCCCGCTTAGAAGACGTGTTAGGGGGCGCATCATGGGGAGATGATTTGGGCCCAATACAGGCTCTACGATTTTCATTCCCAGCGTTTATGGATGGTTTCGTGGTGGTACTTCCGAGCATCCGAGGCGGCCTAGAGATCATGATATGGGTGAACCCGAGAGTGAAGACGTATCTTGGAGAAGACTCTGAATGGCTCCAGTGGGTCTCTGCAGCCACCTGATTGGTAGGGGAGTTTAAGCAATGGCCGAGGGATCTAGTTTTTAAACAAAACAAGCAGTGGAGAGGCTTTCTTAAGGCGAAGCATCTTTGATAACATACATAAATCTAGAAAATATGGGCAACAAGGAGCGAGATGTCTGCCACATTGCATTGGTTGTTGTCGCGTGCATGTGTGCTGAGTTTGCGGCAGGGATGTCAACTATCAAACCAATCTGCTATCAAGCCAAATGTGGCCTTTTCTTGCTAGCTGTCAGACCGGGCTGACGATATGTACTATCCTGCACTATGATCGGTAGTTCACTGATCATACGTACCTTTTTGATTGCATAGCATAGTGTTGCAGGGCTGCGTTCTGACACTCGCCTTGTGGGTTGACTGCAGGCCTATAAGAGAGACTTGCCATCCCTCTATCATGGTATATATTTCCTAATGTATCCTAGGCCACTAGTGAGCAGGGGCCATATTTGGCTTAATAGCAGCTTGGCTTGCAGTCGTCACTTCTGGAGTGAACTATGAAGTCTGACGACCGTAACCGTCGCGTAGCGATCCACAACTTCACATGAGCAGGCCCAGAAACGAAGCTGTATAGCGCCAGACGATAACAGCCTGTCGTATGATTAGGTGCGGTAATCTACTGTGCACTGAATCTTCTTTATGCGGTCAAGGATCTACGCCTAGACATAGCAATGCATCAAAGCTGCTTTTTCCCGTTGAGATGTAGCATCCTTGCAACCTTTGCTGTGGCTGTCTGTTATGGCATACGGCCGTAGTTCGGCTGCATTTGACAGTGGTGTACCATTGCATAGGTTGCAACATAAGTGTCCCAACCAGCCGGCGCTACTCCCACTCCGCTATCGCTGCTGATTGGGCTAGGGTCGCTCTCGTCTAAGCGAAGGTAGCTGCAGAGCTAGACTCGTTAATAATCGAGCTGATTAAGCTGGTCTGACGGCATTCATTGAGACCTTGACCTATGCGAGCTAGTGGGTTACTATAGAAAGTTAGACCGGCTTGATTAGTATGATTATGAACAAGTCTAAGCAGAGCATAGGAAGTCTTAGCACGCCTCCCCACCTTGAAGCAAATACGTCGCTGACGTCAAGGCCTCGTGCTGCCACGCTAAGCCTACGGCGCCCTAGCGTCTTGTTGACCAAGAACATTGAGCCGCGCACTACTCCGACTATGATTTTGGAGGTATGCGCTGCAGCCTTGCGATCCCTCCTCAACCTTGACCATGCCTCCGGTCAACTAACTCAACTCATTTAGACGATCTACAGGATTATGAGGTGACAGAAAAAGAGAGTCCACAAAGGCTGTAGGGTTAGCGGCGCATTTCAACATCCTATCAACATAGTCTCACTATTTGTATTACAGCCTCCTCGCGGGTTGCTAGCAATGATACTTGGTCGCAACGCGTCGAAGATTGCAAAGCAGCACTACCCTCGCTTACTTCACACTCTGAAAAATATCTGTGCAATGCCCTCACATCCCCAGATCGACATGAATCCCTTGTTCTGCTACACGAACGGACTATGGCTATGGAATGAGCGTGAGCAACTGGAGGCCCGATACCGACGTTTTGACGTGTCTAGTCTTAAGCAAGCGGCTTGCAAAGCCGTCGGTGCACACGAATGTGTATCTCTCGATAAGATCGGCGAAGGCAACTACAACAAGGCTTATCGCCTTGAGATGGACGATGGCCAAAAGATCATCGCAAAAGTTCCACACCCTAATGCTGGCCCACCAAAGCTTACTACGGCATCGGAAGTGGCAACTATGGAGTTTGCCCGGACGATTTTGAACATACCCGTCCCACAAGTTCTCGCTTGGAGAGCTACCGACCAAAATCCTGTCCAAGCAGAATACATTATCATGGAAGAAGCGAGTGGCTCCCAACTCCACGAGGTTTGGCAGGATCTTCCACTACGGAAGAAGGTTGACATTATTCGTGAGTTCGTAGATATTGAGAGGAAGCTACTTTCAATCTCCTTCCACAAGTAAGATCCAACTTGCGCCAACACAGAATTCGCGGTCAGTTCAACTTACACACACTATCAGATTGGGGTCATTGTATTTCAAAGATAGTGGTATCGCAGGATGCGAGCCGGCTGTCGTTACAAATGGTCCGCAAGATGTCGACAGTCACGTGGAATCCACTTATGGCATTGGACCCATCACTGGAAGAGAATTCTGGGCGAAGCAACGCAGTGATATGCAATATCATGGTCCATGTAAGTCTCCCAACGTCTATAAAACTCAAATTTAGATTTACAACAGTTGTAGGGACATCTTCTGCAGAATACCTAAAGTCTATCGCTCGCCGTGAGATCGAATGGATCAATGCCTATGCGGACCCACAGGAACCGAGCAAAACTCCATGGCAGTACACGAGCCCACAACAGATGTCTCCGGGGGCTCATACAGCCCTGTTAGAAAAGTTTCTAGCCACAGTTTCATATATTACTCCTAAGGATCCAGAGCTTGCCTCTCCTAGACTTTGGCACCCAGACTTCCACGCTGGTAACGTCTACGTCGACGACCAAGCCCGGATATCATGCATCATTGACTGGCAGGGAGCCTGGGCTGGCCCGATGTTTATCAGTGCCAATCCCCCATTGCTTCTAGACTATGGGATTGATATGTTGACGAAGCTCCCTGAGAACTTCAAAACACTCGACGATGCTACGAAGGATAAGCTCAGATACCAGGTGTCACAGTCTATCTTGATTCACACGTATGAAGAAACCACGGTGGAGAAGAACCCTCTAATGTACAAGGTTATGCGACATCCCCACGGTCAGACCCTCAAGCAATTAGAAGCTTTTGCTGGCTCTACCTGGGACAACTGCCTCTTTCCTTTTGAAGAATGTTTGGTTCGCGCTGAAAGGTGTGTTGATCTATTTACCATTATGTTTCCATGCTGACCATTGTTGCAGGGAGTGGGGTCACTTTGATACGAACGAACCATGTCCGTACCATTTCTCATCAGAGAAGATACGGCAACACGACGAAGAGGTAGACTCTTTCAATAAGAGCCAGGAATTGTGGAAAGAGTTACAAGGTGTCTTGACTGATGAAGGTTATACGTCGAAGGAAAGTTATAGTAAAGCTGTCAATATACTCAAAGATTTGCTGGAAATAGGGCTGGGCAACCTCAAGGGCGAGGAACGGCGCGACTTCGACAAAGAGACGCGATGGGTCGCAGATCTCGATGAACATACAACCTAGCACTTGAATCATATACCCAAGAATAATCATAGACACGGACCGCATGGAAGGCGATGGTAAGACAATCAACGACTAGCTATGTGGCTTTGAAGGATTAAAACCTGGGAGAAGACGACTATATTACTTCTTTCGCCTAAGCTATTGTACTTTGGCTTTGATAATGCGGCTCTTAGCTGTCTAGTTGCCGCCACTGATGTCGACCTGTGTATCGTGATTGCTGTTGAATTTCCACGGACCTTGGTACTAATCTTAATGATGACGTTAATGCCAGTGTTGGTGCCACAACTAACTACTATGTTGCCTGAACCCTGAAAATTGCGACCAGTGCGAGGAAGACATGAGCATCAACCGTGGTGTACAGCTTGGAGAGCTGCTTCCGTAGTATCTCTCTATTGCTGATCTGCCACCGTTCTGGCATCAGAGCGTGATAAGACGGAAGAGTTTGGACCAGCAGGCGTACTTGATGGTGAGCTACGGCTACTAGCTGCGAAAGAAGTGAGGTCTGTGCCAGTATCAAAGGTATCAGAGTCTAGGGTCAGTCATGCCGTACCTTGCTCTCTGAGAGGAATAGGTCAGTTACTGACCTCATCGCTTCCTACAAGTGATATGTGACACATCTTGCCTTTGTTACTAATACCCCATGCGATGCTCACGGAGCGATGCTTGGTGTTTCAGGGTTCTATTCAGCCGCCGCTGATGTAGGAGGTATAGGCCGTCGATAATAATCAGCCTATGGCTACCCATCGTACCGGCCATTATATGCTTGATAAAGTGCTGCAACCAGGCTAAACCAATCTCAATTCTTGTTGAGCCGTTGTCGCTAACACTAATTTGCCAGTCTTTTGGTATGTCGTGATACCAGGTGCTATCGTGGTTCTTGGCTTTGAAGATGAAGAAGCGCGGGACAGCCCAGCCCTTCGCGTTGACTACTGCAATCAACGTAACCCACCCGCGATTGCTAGGTTGAACGCCTATAGTCCAGCTGCATCTTTCCGAAGCAGTAACAGCCTTTATTCTTCCTACGACATCTATAGTGGAGCCAGTCTCGTCAAAGTTGTAGGTATCCTAATCTAGGATGCGGTACCTCATCTTTTTGTTCTGTCCAAGGTCAAAACAGGGCTAATGACCGCTGAATCGCTGCACAGGAATCTCTGGCGATTGTGCTGTCGATTCAGTCGAGCTTTGAGCTCAGGCTTGCGACATACGAGGTTGCTGGCCCACTTCTCATCAATTTGACCATCACCGTGTATAGCAAGCGATTAGTGAGTCACTTCGCGCGCATATTCTAGCGTAGGCGCAAAACCTCGCGTATATAGCTTTCTTACGTATCGAAATAGCGTGGTTTCTTTGTATTTCGTAAGCCTCGACGATTTGGCCTTGGATTCGCATCGTGATGTCGTTCCGGCGCGTCGGTCATGGAGGGTGCTTCGACGCACGTTGTAGATTGCTGCAACGTGTTGCCCACTAAAGAAGCGCCTTCTCTTATCGCTTGAATAGCTAGGATAAATACATCCTTATAACGGAGTACTTCTCTGTTGTGTTGTCGAGACATTGCAGCTGAAAGCGGAGAGTGGCGCAATCTCGGTGGGGTGGTCGGCTCGCTTGCCGTTCACGGTGCATGTTTTTGTTCTGGGAGAGAGCTGTCTGTCGGTCAAATGAGTCATGAACCACAGGGACTCCTCGACGCGGAGTCTCGGCAAGGCATCGCAAACTCCTGGGGTAAGAATCCTTTGACCTTTCTGGAAGGTAGCTCGCGATCGTTGTGTCTTGATTGGC